GACAGGCGCTCCTTCTCAATCAACATCTTGCCTTTAGACTTTGAAATTCACAGGCAAGGGCCCCATCTTCCTGACAGCTTCAGTTTCAACTCCTCAAGTTTAGGGAATTTCAACACTCTCTTTAAATGTTGACCTTGTCCTCCCATTCCACAGTCCCTGGCACTCCAGTTTCTGAACCCTTCTGGGGAGCTGGCTTGTCTCAGCCAGATCCCCCTCTGCAAGCACCTCCCCCTTGCCAGGCCGTTGGATTTGTTTCCCATCTCCCTGGAATGTATTTAACCTCCTCTCCATGAGGTCTCTTCTGATCTTCCACTGGAGCCATCTGTCTGCTTGGTATGTCTCACGACCTGCTGGGAGGTGGTGTGCTTGGTACGGGGGAAGCCCAGGTTCCTCACTGTGGGTAGCACTGAGCACTGCTACTGGATGTGGCCCCCAAACAAACAAAACAGGGCTGGAGGTGAGGCACTCGCCCTGCATGAGACAATGGCACCACAGAACTTGTTTAAATACCCGGGACTATATATGGTCCCCTGAGCAAAGAGTCAGGAGTAGCCCTGAGCATTTTGGGGTGTGGATCAAAACTAACCAAACCAAACATAACAAACCAAAACAAGATCTCACTTGTCCTTCCTGTTGGGTATCGTGGAGAAGTGGGGATGCATGTGTATGACTAATTTAGCATGCGTGGCCCTCTGAACAAAGGCCCTTCCAGAAATCCTGTAGGGAGAGACCAGAGTGACAGCATAGCAGGCAGGCATGTGCCTTGCACCAGGTGGTCCCCCAAGCCCTCCAGATGAGATCCTTGAGCACGGAGTCAGGAGTAAGCCCTGAGCACTGCCAGCTGTGGCCCCCCAAAAAGCAAAACAAAGCAGAATTCCGAATGGAATCACCAGTGACTGGAAAAAGGCATGATTTTCCTCTTGTGCGAGAGCAAGAGAGTAGGGCACAGAATTGTCTCCCTGCAGACTCAGCACCTCCTGTCAACAGAGACCGTGGCTGTACACTATCTATCTTCTGAGCATTTAGCCCACTCTCAGCAGAGTTTGGATTCCAAACAGCTAAGAGCTGCCAGTTTCCAGCTCGGAGAATGTGATTCCTGAGCTAGAGCTCGGGATTCCGCCTCTCCCCGCCCCAAGCCCCCTTGAGCAGGAAGGTGTTATATGCAGAACAAGCCCCACTTCTGTACTTGCAGGACATCTGGAGTCAGAGACCATAAATCTACTGCATGAGACCCCAGTCACGTTATCCCCCTCCGCATCCCCACCAAACGCGCTGGCAAGAGACACCAGTGAGCTGAGAGTTGCTAAATCCAAGTTAGCTCGTCACGTTCAGCCTTGGTGGGCCACTTGCTTCTTTCCCCAAACCAGTTCATTAAGTTACAGTGAAAATGAGCCATTACAGGTGAGCTGAAGCACATTCCCTCCCCTCTGCAAGCATACCCAAGTGTGTACACAAGCACACACGCGCGCGCGCGCGCGCGCGCGCGCGCACACACACACACAACAACAACGCTAACAAGCGAGGAGGCTGAGGATTTTGACTCTCCTTCAGGAATAGTTGACATAAAATGTTTAACAGGGATTAGATACTTAGAAGTTCTTTTAATGGACATTGGTTTGCATAAACTGTTTGCATTTAGATTTTTTTTAAAGGGCTGTTAATTATTTAAACAGTCAATAAAGCAGTGAGTTTTAAGTTCAGTTAAATCATGCCCTGAGGCGAAGTGGAGAATTGCAACCTTGTGTCCCCCCAGGCAGCAATAGAAGGGAGCGGAACTGGCCCCACCTGGCAGAGGTGAGCAGCTGGTAAGAGCAGATAAGAGGACAGAAAGCTTTTGGACAGGAGAGCAGGTAGGGCAATGCCCAGGCTTCCCTGGCCAGAAGAACGTTGGAGAGAGCACGCAGAGCTATGGCCCTTGCCTGGCACACAACAGGCTTTGATTAGATCCCAGCACCACATACGGTCCCCTGAGCACCATCAGAAGGGAGCTCTGAGCACTTTTTTTGGCCCCCAAGCCAAAAAAGAAACAAGTCAATGTCACAACACCCTCACCAGGCCAGAGGCTGCGGTTTGCCACCTGCCGAGTGGAGGGGACCCTGACAGCCCATCCCAGCTTCTCTCGGCTTCCCTTGTGGCCACTCGGAGTGCCCACAACAGACTCCGCCTTGCCCCCTCCCTTTCTCCTCTCCTTGGCTCTGTCATGCAGCTCTGGAGGTCAGAGCCCGAGGACGGTGGGAATACCCACTCCCAGGGTCCTGCAGCTGGTTCGCCCCAAGTTCTGGGGCAGGCAGAGGTATCTGCCCATGGCCGGGACGCACCCCCAGAGAGCTGCAGGAACCAAATCAGGCCTCTGTTTCCCATCAGGGAGGCTAAGGATGCTTACGAAGGTACAGGCCCTGGGACCTGGGTCACGGTCAAGCCACCAGCAGGCTCTGGAGAAAAGGGGCTTCCTACCGCAGGCCCCTCTGCCTAAGTGGGCGAGACATGGAATCCCCTAAGAGCAGTTAAGAACCCCAGAGGCAGAACCAGAGAGTGGCACCCAAGTGCTCCCCTGGTGATCCCAGTGGGCAGCCCAGGGGCTCCCTCTGTGCGGCCTTAGTTCAGGTCTCCTCGTCCGTCCCTTAACTTCCCCTCCACTGATCTACTCTGCAACTGCTCATGCTCTTCCTCTGCTTTAGACCCAGTTGCCTGTGAAACAAAGAAGAGCTTCCCCTCATCAGCCAGGAAGACCCTCTGATCTGGGGCATACTCTCACCCTCTTTGTGACACAGGCTCCCACCCTTAGGTCTCAGAAGCACTGGGTCCCTCACGCTCTGCTCTTGTCACAGCTGTGTGTCTCCTCTTCGGCTGTTGGCAAACCCATCTCCAATTCTGGCTCAGGGCAGCCTCCGGGAAGCCTGTGCAGACCTACTGAGCCTGGGAAGCTTCTAGTCTCCGAGTGAGAACCAAAGGCAACTCCCCTCCCTGTGGTCTCCTAAGTCCCGTGCAGCATCTTACTTCACACCTGTGCCCAGAAGACTATGGCCAGGGGGCTGGGCTCAGGGCAGGACCCCTGAGTCCACTTCTTCCCGCCCACTGTGAGCCCCTCTATGCTGACTTCCCAGGCCCTTCTCGGTTGGGCATCCTGGGTTCATTTCCCAGCTAGAATCTGGGCTCTGGGCGGGCAGCTCGGGACCCAGCCTGGTGTCCCCGGAGGCCGTCTCTGAGAATTTCCCTGCTTTGCTTTAGCTCAGGAGTCAGGAGTCATTCCACATGGTTCCCATCCTTTGGCTTTCCTAGAGCTTTGCTCCTGGAGAGAAGGGACGGAGCTTCATTTGCCCTTGACCTTCAAGTGCTCACTGCCAGGCCGGCAACTGCACCTGGGTTCTAGCAGGTTATGGGGCACTGGCCAGGCGCGTTACTTGGTAGGGAGATGGAGATGACAGCTGGGTGAATGTTACTCCCTTCCAGTTTACCCTGCTCCTGCCCCCTCCTTCCAGTGGGCACACTTTCTCTCTATCCCTTCTTTCCAGCAAGCAGCTGTGTAGCCACAGGAGGTGGAGACCCAGGTGTAACTAGAAAAAGCCAGCGAGCATGTCCACACCAGCATCAGGGAAACACGGCACCCAGGAGTTCAGTGTTTGAGTTGAGTTAGGACATGCTTATCCCTCAGCAGATTCCCTGGGACTTCCACTGGTTCTGCATCTTCCAGAGTCCCACCACCCCCGGCTCAGCTCTGGGGCACTGCGAATGCTCCAGGAGCACTTGGTCGCCAGGAGACAAGAGAACTAAGTCTGTCTTTCCATCGGGGAGTGATGGCCTTCCTTTCTCTCGAGCACCTAGCCTCTGCTGGGATGGTCTGGCATCTGTTTCTCAATCCGGGATAGACGTTCTGGATCAGGGAGTCTCATTAAAATAGCTCTCCGAGCACTTAGGGAATTATCCCTGGTGCATTTTGCTTGGCAGCAAACAATAAATGAAGCCCAGCAGAGTGGGAATGCTGAGTAGGAACAGGGTCACCCATGCTGAATCAAGGACAGGCCTTCATTCTCCTGAAGCCCCAACTCAGGGATTCTCAGTAGATTCACACTCTGGACTTGGAATGACCCTCTGTTCCATTGGTTCAGCACTGTGATGGTTCAGCACTGGAAAGTCCTGTATCCTAAAAATGCCCAGTTCGCAGGGATGATGCTTAGCCTGCTTTTTCCTCCATCTTTGGGGTCTGGGCAAAGGCAGCCCCCCGCCCACCGTGTGCTTACAGGCTGATGTGCCCACACCCTCTCCAGAAGCCCCCAGCATCCCCTTGATAGCCTGCGTGCTGCAGGGCCAGTGATTTTCTTTTTCTTGTTTTTCTGCAAGATAGCACAGCGGGTAGGGCGTTTGCCTTGCACGCAGCCAACCCAGGAGACCCAGGTTCGATTCCTCCGTCCCTCTTGGAGAGCCCAGCAAGAGAGTATCTTGAGAGTATCTTGCCCACATGGCAAGGCCTGGCAAAGCCTGGCAAGCAACCCATGATGTATTTGATATGCCAAACACAGTGACAACAAGTCTCACAATGGAGACATTAATGGGCCCGCTCGAGCAAATCTATGAACAATGGGAGGACAGGACAGTGAGAATGGAAGTTTTCCTGCCTGTTCACTTTTTTGGTTTGGGGCCACACGAGATGGTGCTTAAAGCTTGGGGTTTGGGGTTTGGGACTGGGGGGTGCCTAGGGGCTCATGTGGTGCTGGGGGCTGAACCTGGGGCTTTGTACAGATGTGTACATTGAAGCCCACTGAGCTATTTCCCCAGCCCAGAGTCTTCTGTTTGTCTGTTTGCTTCGTGGTGGTCTTCTAACCCAGGGCCTCATGCACTCAAGGCAGATGGTCCAACCTTAATTCTCAGCCTCCTGTGGCTCCTGTTTTCAACCCTAGGGGTCGAGTTCTGAACCTTACTCTGTATGATGCCCCCGGTTCCCAAATACCAGAGGAGGAGGGGGAGAGGTGGGGGGAGAGAAGAGGAACGGCAGGGGAATGTACCTGAAGGAGGGTGACATTGGCAAGGCTGAGTCTGAAGAGGTAGTTCCTGCGAAAACAGAAAGGAGGATTGTAAGCCAAGCTGGCTTCTGGTTGGTGCGTGACTCATGCTGAACCAAGGCCCAGGACACACACACTCACACACTCTTCACCACCTTTCTCAGCCAAAAGCCCATTGAATGGAAAGACTCAGGACCTGGACAGGCTCCCGCCTCCCTCGCCTGCCTCCCTGGTCTGTTTCCCTCCACACAAGCCGCCATCTCTCTGGGGTCTGTGACACCTAGAGTCCTATCTGCTTCTCTGACCTCTCCGTGGGACCCTCTGTGTTCCCCCCGCCCCCCTCCCATAATGGCAATCCTGTCCTCCACCTTATACTTCTTCCCCACATGGTCCAGCCTGGAGAAGCTAAGATATTATCGTCATTTTTTGTTTGTTTGTTTGTTTGTTTGGGGTTTTTTTGCCACACCTAGCAGTGCTCAAGGCTTACTCTATGCACTCAGGGATCACTCCTGGCAGGGCTCAAGGACCATATGTGGTGCCAGGGTTCAAACCCAAGTGAACTGTGTGCAAGTAAACGTCCTACCCGCTGTTCTACCTCTCCCACGCACAGATAAGTCATCATCTTTAAACACTACTTTCATTGTCTCAGTCTACTGCTCAACAGTCTTCGATAAGGAAAAGTGCTCACAAAAACCCATAGGCAGATGTTTTATTCCTATTTGTGAAGCCTTGGAAGCAACCAAGAAGTGCTTCAGTAGGTGAGTGGGTAAATGATCGGGCAGTGGCCGAGAGTGGGCTCTTAGTCTGTGCTTGGGAAATGCAACGCTGATGGGGCCCCTGGAGCAGTAGCACAGAGGGGCGGGTATTGGCCTTGCTTACAGCCTCCCGGATTCCATCCCCTGCATCCCATAGGGTCCCCCAAACACCACCAGGAAGCCAGCAGTAATTCCTGAATGTGCAGAACCAGGAGTCACCCCTGAGCATTGAAGGATGTCAAAACCAAACAAAACAAAAAGGAAAGAAAGAAATGTACCGTCAAGGCATGAAAAGATGAGCAGGTACCCGATGTGCATGCTACTGAGTGAGGAGAGGAATGCCCACCTGCAGAAGTCACCTACTGCACACAGCCCGCGGGAAACAGAGCAGCGAGCTCTCCAGGGTGGAGGGCCAGAGGGAGAATAATCAAGGCACAGAGAACGTTTTGGGCTGCAAACATATTCCGTATGACTGTAATGATGTCCAAGGCCAGAATGCCCACTGAGGCACTATGATGTGCGTGGTGATAATGAAGTACCCATGGAGGGTTTTGGGTGCAGGCGATAATGAAGTACCCATGGAGGGTTTTGGGTGCAGTACATGTACCATTCTGCTGGGGGGCATCGATGTGTGGAAGGCTGTGCGGGACGGAGGTAGGGGGCGGGAAGGGGGTTTAGGGGAACTCTTTGAGCCTCCCCTCAAGTTTGCTGTGAACTGAAAACTAGTCTGAAAATAAAAAGTCCTAATTTTAGAATTAAAAAAAAACTCCAAGAACGACGCTGATGGGGCTGGAGAGAGTGTCATGAAGAAAGAGCCTGCCTTGCTTGCTGCTGACCCCAGTTAGATCCTGACACAACAGATGGTCCCCCGAGCCCCGCCAGGAGTGATGCCTGAGCACAAAACCAGGAGTAAGCCCTGAGCACTCCTGAGTGTGCCCCCTAATTCACCTCCCCCTGATAAAGAACGGAGTGGATGCTGAAAGTGTAACCATCAAGCTGCCATCACCTTCATGGGGCTCACAGCCAGGCCATTGGACTTGACAGTGGCAGGGTTGGAGCTGAGCGCCCCATGGTCATGGGGCAGGGCCTGCCAGAGAACTCCAGCCCGGCCACTTGCTGTGGCCTTCTGGGAGCCTGAGTCCAATGGGCCTCTGCCATTCCTATCTCACAGGGCCTAGTGTGTGTGCGTGTGTGTGTGTGCACGCTTGAATGAGCTTGTGCGTGTGTGAATGTGTGTGCATGCATGTCCATGTTTGCAGGCACAAGTGTATGTGCACTGCATGTGTGTGCATGTGCAAGTGTGCATGAATTTTTGGACACATGTATAGGTGTACGTACATACATGTGTATGTGAGTGTGCATGTGCAAGAGTGTGCAGGTGTGTGTGTACGCATCCACGGTGTGGCCGTGTGAGCCTGGGCTTGTGCCCACACACGGCCTTGAGTGATGTCAAGCAGATGATTCTGGGCCTTTCTTCAGCATTTGCTTTTTTTCCTTCTCCCGCCTTTGGCTTTTCTTCTTTTGGTTTCCAAAATATTTAAGAACAATTCCTTTGGAAAGTTCTGGTCAAAGTCAGGTGGGAAAGAGAAATGAGGGGACGGTCTGGGAGGGGCCAAGGAGGCGGGCCCTGCTGGGCTAAAGGGGGCCTCCCCCCCCGGCCAGGCTCCCCCAGCTGTGCTGGGGCTCTGCAGCCTCCCAGCACACCCCTCCTGCAGGTCCTGGCAGAGACTGCCCCCAGCACGCTTCAGGGGCTGCCGCACCCGGACCTGGCTGGAACAATCTGGGTGACAGGGCGTCTTTCTGTTCACCTTTGCTCCTCACACAGCACTCATCACTAGAGCGCAGCTCGTCTTCTGGGCGTGAGAGAGAGAAACCTGCAGCCTGGCCGCCCCTCCCCGAATGAAACAAGCAGCAGAAATGAACCTCCTCAGCCTGGACCCCAGGGCCCAGAAAGGAGGGAAGGGAAAGGAATGTCAGGCAGGAGAGAAGGAAGGGAAGGAATGCAAGACAGGAGAAAGGACACAGACAGGAAAATGACCCAGAGAAAGACACAGACAGGAAAATGACCCAGAGAAAGGGGAGAAAAAAGAAGAATCAACATTTTTCTTTCGTTTGCCCTAAGGGATGTTAAAGGCTGAATCCAGAACTCATTTCCTCTGTTCATCTCTTGCCCTGCAACTTGGGAAAAAGTTGATTCCCTGCAGTGTGTGTGTGTGTGTGTGTGTGTGTGTGTGTGTGTGTGTGTGTTGAGGGTGGAGGAGGGGAAAGGCAGCGTGACCACTGGCTGGTGATTTAACCTGAGCTCCCATTTCCTGGTCCAAACCAGAGATGCTCACCGTCCCCCTGCCCCCGCCCCCCAGCAGATCGCACGAGGCAGTAATTTCTGACACGCCTGATTGACTTCATGTTTTCGACACTTTAGTGCATGTTTGGCACCTGGCAGGCGTCAGATGAGTGGCAGCTTTCAAAATGCTTCAACAACGCTGGAGCGGGGGCGGCAGGCTCCGTGAAGGGGGTGGGGCGGGCAACGGGCGCGCAGGGCAGGATGGATGCTGCTTTCACCCGAGGCGCCGCGGGGGGCCGGGGATGCGTGTGAATCCCTGTCTCTGCGCTGCCTCTCACCAGCAACTGCACCTCAGAACAAGTCAGTCATCCTCACTGCTGGGAAAATGGAGCTGCTCTCTCGTCTATTTGTGGCTAACTGAGTTCTGGATTCGGCCTTTCACATCTAGATTATTCCTCGGAGCATCCACAGACTCACGCCCGGACAGAGGGTCCAGCTTGCACTGGCTGCAGGGGTCCACCCTTTGACCTGTGCTCCTCGACCTTTGGAAGGTCAAGCACACAGCCCTGATACTTGCTTATTTCAGTGTGGTAAAGGGTGGGTCGGCCACGCCCAGCGGTGCTCAGGGCTGACTCCTGGTTCTGCACTCGGGATCACTCCTGGTGGGGCTCGGGGGCCTGTGAGCCAGCGGTTGAGTGGCCAGTGTAAGGCGCGTGCCGACTCACTGGACTCCCTCTCCTCTCCACCCCTCCGCCCCACCCGGTTCCACAGACACGTTTAGCTCCAGCTCCACCACAGTGTGGTGATGTGGATGCAGAGCCGGTGCCCCAGACTTTCCAGGTGCGGGGACAGCCTCAGAGCGCCCACCCAAGACCAGAACCCGGCTCCTCCAGGCTTCCCGTGGTGCTGTGTCCCCGAGCCGTCTCCTTCGCACCAGCCGGGAGGGGATGGGGACGCGCGGTCAGGCCCAGGGGCCAGGCTGCTCTGACACACTGGAGTGAGGCCGCCTTCTTGGCCTGCCACTGGGCAGATCTGCGGGGACAACGAGCGTGGGGCAGATACTGCAGTAGTGGGAGGCCACAGCACAGACTGGCAGAACCATACTCCCGGGTCCAGGCCTTCGGGAAGTATGTCCTTGGCGGTCACCTTCCACCTTCTTCGGGTCGAGATTGATGGCAGGACTGACATCCGCAAGCCTCAGAGTGCAGAGCCCAGCAGACCAGGGGAGGGGTCACACAGGGTTCGCACCCTAGCCTCCAGTTTTTGGTTCAGCAGGTTCTGGGAGGAGCCCTCACACTTGGTGGGGGTGGGGTGGGGCCACACTCAGTGGTGTTCAGGGCTTACTCCTGAGGTCACTGCTGCGAGTGCTGGGGACGGAGTCCAGGCTGGCCGCGTGTACGGCAAGTGCCAAGTTGCTCCTCATCTCTCCTGCTTGAACTTCTTCTAGGCTCCACTGGTACTGCTGGCCCGGGTTCTCTCACTGAGATCAGCCCTAAGCCCCTTCTCTCCAGCGCCGAGGAGCTGTGGCAATATTTCCTCAACGTGGGTGACACCAGTCCCCACTCTAGGATGGGGACACTGGAGTGATGGGGGGCACTAGTAGCCTCAGGTGAAATTGGGGGAGGAGGTACTTTCTGTTCGCTTTAAGAAGGCAGATTTTAGTGGGGCTCTGAAGGACTTTTTTTTGAAAAGGGGGTTGCAGGTCAAAAAACTCTGAGAGCCTGATGTAGGGTTTTGTGAGAATCCCCACCTCCTCCTGCACTCCACAGAGTCTCCGTAAATCCTCCCGCCTAGCGGATTACCTGCAGTACTGACCAGAGGGAAGGGAGAACAGGGCATGAGAGCATGGGACAGGTGCAGGCAGCCCACTGCCAGCAGGGGGCGCCCCGCGCTCCAACAACGAGGTGTGTGCTAGGGGACTGGTAGGGCTGGGGAGGGGGCAGCCTGCAAACGGATGGTGTCCAGTGCCCCTCTGCCTTTGAAGTACGGGGCACCAAGATCTGAAGTTCCTTCCCTGCCTCACCCTGACCCTCACCCCAACAATGCTTTCTTCCATGTCACCAACACGGTGGGGAGATGAGAGAGAGAGAGAGAGAGAGAGAGAGAGAGAGAGAGAGAGAGAGAGCGAGCGCAAGCACCCAGTAGGTCAAGGAGGAATGAGTCCATCCCCGAAAACATCCCCTCCACCCACCACTCCTGGCCCTGCCCCTCTGCACCCATTACCTGGCTCCCACGATGAGCTGGTTCCTGGGAGGGTCGAGGGCGAGCTGGGAGAAATCTTGGGCCCCAGGATAGGTGAAGTTGGAGACCCAGGGCTGCAGGTCTAGGGAGGAAGAGGAGCCTCTTGGTTACCGCGGGCGTCCAGCTGTGCGGGCGTGGGAGCAGACAGGCAGCGGGAAGGCAGGGTGCCCCTTCCCAACAGCTGGGGGCTTTTCATCCTTCCTGGAGGCCTCCCCTCTCCACCCCGATTGCCCCCAGTCACTCCTGGAGATTCAAATCCCCAGACCCTCCCACATCCAGCCCGGGGGAAGCCATGAGGACGTCACATCCTTTTGCTTACCTGCAGACCAGCCCGAAACCCAGCGGTTCCTGCCCGCTGTGCTCCAACATACCATGCGCCCTGTGGCTGGCCTGGCCTCCGCTCCAGCCCTCCCGCCCCACACATGGCAACCAGCTGACCCTTGTGAAGCGCGAATCTGGTCCCGTCCCTCCCCTGTGCTAAGCTCCTTAATAGTGCCCATTTGCCCCCGGCTCCTGTGTGGGCTTTTGGGTGCTGACCCTGTTCCCCAGCTCACGCGTGATTCGGGGACCCACAGCAAGCACGAAGCTCTCTTGCACCCCCCCCCCCCCACTCCATCCCACCACACTCGCCAGGCAAGAGCGTCCTGCAAGCAGATGTCTGCATTTCTGTTCTCTCAGTGATCAGTTCCTAGCCCCACCTGCCTCCACAAACCCCCAAACCAGGGTGACCACTGCCCCGCCATCACCTGAACCCCCAAGCCAGGGTGACCTACCGCCCACCATCACAGCCGCCTTCCTGCTGCTGCCTAGCTTGGTGTGCCCTGGGGGACAGGGAAATTCCTACTTCCTTCTGGGGTGAGAGGGTTGGACCACCCCTTTACTTGGCGCTCAGAGATCACTCCTGATCATGCTTGGGGGCCCATGTGCAGTGCCGGGGGTAAAGTCCAGGTGGACAGGCAGGCAAGGCAGTTACCCTAAGCCCGGCCCTAGCTCTCCGGGCCAAGATCTTGCTTGCGTCTTGAATTCTTAGGGCCACCCACGTTTGGCAGAGTTTAAATGGGTGTAAAAATAATTCTCAGCCCCCTGACATATTTCTGAACAAGAAGAATCAGGTTTCAAGTAAGGCTGTAAGTGGAGGGAGAAACAGAGTTGGAAGGGAGGGTGCATGCTGTGTGTGTGCGTGCGTGCTTTGTGTGTTGTGTGTTCTGTGCTATGTTGTGTGCATGCTGTATGTGTTGTGTGTCTTGTGTGTGTTGTGCTGTGTATATTGAGCTGCGTATGTGGCTATTCTGTGTGTGGTATGTCTGTTGTGCATGTCTTGTGTGGTGTGTGTTGTGCTATGTGCATTATGTGTGTGTTGTGTGTTGTGCTGCATGTGGTATATGTTATGCTCTGTGTGTTGTGCTGTGTGTGGTGTGTTGTGCTGCATGTGTTATGTGTGTTGTATGTATGCCACACTGCGTGTTGTGTGTGTTGTGCTATGTGTGTTGTGTGTGTTATGCCATGTGTTACTTGTGTTATGTGTGTATTGCGCTGTGTGTGTTGTGTGTGGTGTATTTGGGGGGGTTGTGCGGTGTGTGTGTTGTGCTGTGTGTGTTATGTGTGGTGTGTGTGTTTGTGTGTGTGTGTGTGTGCACGCGTGCAGTTCTTTCTCTGAGGCCAAGGCCACAGAGTTTCATGAGGGTGTTAAGGAGCACCGGCAGCCCCCTGTGTGGGTGGCAGGGCAGGGGACGGGCACGTCAGGAACAGTGTGGACCAGCCCTTCCCTGGTGACCCACAGCACCCCTGGACAGCGCCTGCTCAGTCCTCACCTCGCCTCGGGTGGGGTCTGATCCCAGTGACAGAGCAGGGGTGTGGAGGGCTGCTCAAAAGAGGGGAGGAGAGCAGGGGGGCCCAAGGCCCGGCGCCTCCCCCCATCGCTCCTCAGCCGCGGCTCGCAGAGGCCCAGAGGAGAGTGCGTGCGAGCGTGCGTGAGGGGGTGCGTGGAGTCCTGGGGAAATAAATCATTGCTCGTTATCCCTCCACCCAGAGTAAAAGCAGCCCTTCGTTTCTGCACGACAGGCAAATACTTAATCGCTCCCTGGAGAAAGGGAAGTTTCTCGAGTTGGATGTTTTTCAGAAAACTGTGATATGCATGATTTTCGAGCAAAGAAGAAATTCTGCAGCAAAATGAAGCCCCCTCCTGGGCCTGCCTCTGCCCCCAGCAGGTGACGTGGTAAGGCCTGCTTGGTAGCTGTAATGGCATCTGGGCAACATCAGGATCAGGAGTGAGTGGTGCTGGCTGTTTGTAGCTGATCTCAGAAAGCCTGTTGGGCTATTAAACTACCTCAGGGACTGGCCAAGAGGCCTCCCCCTCCAGGAAGTCTTTCTGGATCATAACTTTGCAACCCTGATCTAATGTGATTCCTTCCCACTGTTCCTCCACGCCGTACATTCCACTCACTCTCAGCATGCCCTTTCTGGGAGGAGAGAGGGAAGGGGTGATGGGCTCGCCTATCTCCACACACAGGGGCTCCCCAACAGTCGGCGGTCAGGATGCTAGCTCTCTCCTCCTCCCGAGGGGGCATTTAGATGGGCACAGTGTGCCCGGTCAGCAGCAATGCCAGGTGTTGTCAGTGCGGAATCCCCGCGGTCCTCTCCTGAGGAGGCAGGGGCAGAGGCAGGGGTGCCGTGGGGAGGGGTGGGGGGACGCAGGCGGCTCCTCCATTTCTGCGCCCTGTGTGGGAGGGGCAGGGCGGAGAGGCCGCTCTCAACCCCGAGCACGTCCCGAGCTCCGCGTGCATGAAGCCGGCGGACGGCAGCTTTAAGAGAAAAATGACATTCTCCATGACGCGCCTGTGATTTTAATTAGCGCCAATTCAATTACCCACTTTATGGATCGACCGCTGGCTCCGTGAACACACACTGCTCCCGCCTGCGCATGAAAGGCGACGGAAGGGGGTGCGGCTGCAGAGACCCCCAGCCCAGCCCGCCCGAGGAGGCCCAGGGAGAAGGTTGCATGGGACAAGACCCTGGAGCCCATCGGATGCTGCACCCGGCCGCCCTTCCAGGGTAGTTAGGGGTCACCGGGAGACCAGGCAGGCAGGGGAGGGGGACACGCATGACCTGGACTGCCCTGCGCGCTGGGTCACTGCCGGCACTTGGCAGGAATGAGTCCCCAGGGTGTGCTCAGCAGTGCAAAAACCTACGGGGAGATGGAGCTGACTGCCACCTGCACTGGGGGCACCTTGGGGAGACCTGGGCACCCCCAGACTCCTGCGAGGACCCCAGCACCCAGCTCCACTCCCCGCATTGTGCAGGCCCCAAATCCAGAGACCATCGCAGGCTCTGCTGAGGGAGGCCTCGCTGGGTCCCCAGCCCTGCAGGGTCCCCTGAGCACAGCCAGAAGCCACCCCTAGCACTGCTGCGATGCGGTCCCGAAACAAAAACAAGCAAAACAAGGAGTAAGTTTGGAGAATGTGTAGGGAAACCCAAAGCTACCCACGTGGGGGAGGGGGCTGAGGGGAGCCCGGAGGGTGGGAGGAAGAGCTGCGATGTGACCTTGCTCCAGGCCGCCCGTCCTGGGTGACTGGCCATCTCTGCTGCCAGGGTCCGAGGCCACTGTGACACGCCCATGCCCACTGTCCCTCATTCCTTTACTCTGTGTGAGGGTAGGTGGACACGTCAGTTGAAACAAGCTCCATCTGGAGAGCACTGTCCAGGGAGTGGCCTCAAGGGCACACCTCTCGTTTCTGCAGCCCCCTCCCCAATTTGTTCCAGTAGAGATGCATGGGGGTCAGGGTCTCTGCTCTCCTCCATTGCTCCTGCCCCCCTCAGCCAGACCCAGAGGGTCCACACAACGCCTTGTGAGACTGTCCCTCAGAGCTGCCGTGCTGGCGCCCTGCTCAGTCCCTGCCTTCAGGAACAGCCACCAGCACAGGAGGGAGGGGCAGGGCTTCAGGGTGCTGTGCTTGGTCGTTGATGGTCACTGCTGACTTACTTTAACCTGCTGAAGCCTTTCAAGCCTGGACCCCAGCTCAAACAAGACAGAACTGGGGACTGCTGGGAGGCCCTGTCTGGACCTGGGGGACAGTGCTAGCAGGGACGCCGGTCAACCTTCCTGGGTCCCACGTGCTGCCCTGGCCCCACCTGTCCCTCTCCCGCTGGCCCCTGGGAGTTCTCTCTCCAGTCGTCCTGGTCTCCTTCTCACATCTCGGCTCTGGCTGTGCTTCAGAAAACCCGCTGGCCGCCTCCTCCTGCCAAGGGTCCCCCTGAGTTTAAGCCCTGCGTCCCTGGCCTCCACCCTCCCATCCCCTCCACTGCGAGGATATCACAGGCCTTAGGACACCACAGGCCTAACGACACAGCGATGGGTCCGGAAGGATGGGTGGGATTCTCCCGCCACCGGGGCCCCCAACAGGCTAACAGGCCATGGGAGAACATATGGGATGTGAGCTTGTTTCCTCTTAGAGGCTCATCAAATGTACAAGCTACTTTTAGAAACTCTCGTGAGAACCCAGGGGCCCCTCGGAGCAGGGCCAGCGAGGCACATTCGCGGGTTGGGAAACACTCGAGAACAGCGCTCTCATGCTCCCCAGCAGATGGGGAGATTAGTCACCAGGCCCCTTCCCTGGGGGTCCCAAGAGCCCAAAGACAGGCATCCCTGGAGCTGTCTGCAGCCCAGGGAGGTTTGCCAGACAGCCCCCGTGATGAGTCATCTTCATTCTCGCCCTTCCAGGGAAGCCAAGAAATGAAGCTCACGCTTCCAAAAGAGCCAGAGCGTGGGACCACCAGCCAGACCTTGGCCAGCCCACTGAGCCGTCAGCAGAGGAACCCCCGGAAGACAATGCGCCCCACCCCAGTCACTTAGCTCCAACACAAACAACTGAGCAGCGGAGTCTAAACCCTCCAGCTGGCTTCCCGCCCTTGGACGCAGCACCCAGAGGGAGCATCTCTGAAGAGAGAGCGACGGGCCTGAGCAGCACATGGGACCCCGCTGTGTCTCACCTCAGCACCTCAGCCCTGAGGAAGCAGAGAAGGGCCGTGTGGGGGGAGGGTCTCACCTGCGAAGGCCACGGTGGGGTGTTCCCTGGGGGTACACAGAGACTGCTCCCCGCTGGGCTCGCTGGAGAGATCCTGGGAGCTGGAGAGGTGGAACAGCAGCAGCGTGAGGCTGGGCGGCAGCAGTGCTCCCGGGAGCACCATGGCGGGCCGCGGCGGGCCGAGCTCCTGGAAGCAGGCCGGGCAGACCTGCAAAGCAAACACCATCTCACCGCAAATCCTTAGGGAATGAAGGTAGCAAGGCGCAGGCCCGCCTAACAGCCTTTTGTGCAGGGTAGACATAAAAATACGTGTTCCTATGTCCTTGGATTGGCATTCATATATGCAAGGAGAGAAAACCACAACAAACTTCAATAAAGAGGCTGGGGGTCAGGTATCTCAGTGGTTGAAACACCTGCCTTGCATGCATCCACCCACTAGGTCGGGGGGTAGTTGTCAGTGATGAGATGGGGTGGGTTGGTTTGCTTGTTTTTTTCATACATCTTTATTCTGTTTAGTATAGCTTAGTCTGCTCCATGCAAAGTTATAGATCATATCTTGAAAGCTAATTTCCCTTGGAATGGTGTTCTGGATAAAATTGACAAATGATAGAGGTTTTTTTTTTCCCTATTATGATCCCAAGATGACTTCAAACTTGTTTTAATGATAAAGGATGATATCTAAGGAGTTTAATAAATGGAGCTAGGACACAGGAGTAAGTTATTTGCAAAAAGATAAATTTGAATCTGCAATTCATATTTTATACTAGGAAAAATTCCAACTGGATCGAAGATTTAAATGTTAAGATTAAAGCTATAAACACACTGGAAGAAAATGTGGGCAGAATTTCTTCTAACATCAGAGTGAGAACTCATGATTCAAAATCCAGGAGTTAGGCAAGAAATGATCGGCCAACTTTACATCACAAAATAATAAAACGTCTGCAGGTCCTCCTTTCCCCAGCCTGCAACAAACATCCAGCAAACTCAGAAGGCAAATGACAAAATGGAAAAACCAAATCACACTTCGCGCAGAGAAGCAGCAAGAACACATGAGAATCAAGAAGAAAAAGATCAATCACCCAACTGAAGTGTGAACCCCCAAATACACACGCAAACAGGGCTCCCACGCCTGAAGGACACTTATTCTGACTCATCAACGCAGCACCAAGTCAAGCTTCAGGTAGAGATGCCACAGCAAGTACCTCAGCTTGATGACACCCCTTTGTAAAGGCTGTGGGAGAAGGGACACCTCCTAGCCTGTGGGTGGGCCTGGGGAAGGACACCTCTCTGTGGACAGGGACCAGGCAAGTCTGGGCACAAGACAGAGGCCTTTATCCTTTCGTCTCTCTTCTGGGTGTCTAGACTGAAAACGCCACTCAAAACATGGCGCTGGACCACATCCATCCACAAGGTGTGATAACTCTGTCACAAGGTAAACGCAGAACATAACAAAACCTCCTAGCAGTTGGGCTGGAGGGACAGTACAGCGGGCTATGCTTGGTCTGAGACCGAGCATATGTGACACCACGTATGGACCAGAGCCTCACCCGGGGCCACTCCTGAGCACCACTGCCTGTGACCCAACCTCTCTTCGACCAAAGAAAAATAACAGTAAAAGTGAAAACTGCATAGTTGTCTTACAGAGCAATTTTTTGGACATTTGATCCAATTAAATATTTGGCCTTGTGTTTTATTCAGTCTGTTTTCTTTTAACTTCTCTGGTAATCTACTTGGCTGAACTCTGCATAAGCACCCATCTGCATCCGATTGTTGACTGGAAGCGAAAACCTGCTCCTTCATCTCGGAGAAACAAACGGTCCCATGTGCAAAGTGACTTGTATACAAGATGACTCCTTGTGGCTTTCTTTGAAGTACCAGAAGTCAGGAAGTAACTAGATATTTAGCAACAGGAGGCTGCTTGCACAAGCTGCGATGTACTTGGTAATGGAATACAGCACTGGAGATGAATGATGAATTTCTCTACATTTCAATACAGAGGAACCCTTAGGGCAGTGAAGATAGCAAGGTGCAGACCAGCTGAACAGCCTTCCGTGTAAAAAGATGGTAGACGTAAAAGTGCATGTTTTTATTTCCTTGATCAGCATTCACATACACTGGGAAAGCAGACCACAACGAGTTTCGATCAAAAGGCCGGGTCAGATTCAGATAGCTCAGTGGCTGGAAACACCTGCCTAGTGAGCATCAAGCGAGTTCAATTCGCAGTGCCACACATACACCAGGTAGGATCTTGGCAGTTCCATTGCCTTTGATGCCTGTTGCAAGTATTTCTGCTGTACTGCAGGCAGGAGTGTGTGAGCAGCACAACTCACAGGGCCTGATCCCCAGGTAAGCATCACTTAGCCTGACTTCTGGGAAGCAGGAGTGTGAGTGCTGCAGTGACCCCAAGAGCTGTGACTAAAATGTGTGTGAGCGCCACGGCGGACACGCTCATGGGCAATCACCCCAGTCATGGAGCATGACCCGGAGAGCGTGCCACCCCCAGTTGGCACACCACAGTCATCCATGACAAGCAGCAGCAATAAAAGAGTGGAAGAGAGGAAATAAATAAAATTAGTTGGTAACATGAATTAAAAGGTTTGGGGGCTGGAGTGACAGTCCAGTGGGCAGGGTGTTTGCCATCCATGTAGCTGACCCAGGTTTGATCCCCGGCATTCCATAAGGTCTCCCCCTGAGCACCTCCAGGAGTAATTCCTGGGTGCAGAGCTAGGAGTAACCCCTGAGCATCACCCGGTGTGACCCAAAATAAAAATTAACAAAAACCCAAGCAAACAAGCAAAACAAGAACCAATAAAATATCTTTTTATAGAATAAAAGTAAAAAAGTTTTTTTGGTGTGCGTGTGTGTGTGTCTTTGGGCCACACCCAGCAGTGCCTAGGACTTTCTCCTGGCACTGTGCTCAGGAATCACTTCTGAGAGCTCAGGGGACCCCCCATAGTGCTGGAATCAGAATATTTTCACTTCTGGGTACTGACTGTGTTTGCTAGTACCTGGGAAATGAAACTCAGAAGCTAGTTATTGCATGCACAGGTGTTGCCACAGGACCAGGAGGCGGCTCCCGCATTTCTCCTGGGCCCCATCCCACCTAGACCCCCACATCACTCCTACGTCCCCATGCCATGGAGGGCCTCCCTGGTGTACTGCCAGGATGGGGAACTGGAAGGGAGGACTGGATCAGGCACCCAGCCAGACACGGGGGGCCTGGGCCTTGAAGTTAGGGTGCAGGGGGCTAGTGGGTGAGGGATGCCAAAGGTCTTTTTCTTTTTCTGTTCTTCTTTTCTTTTTGGGGGGGTGGGGGCAAGTGCCCATCCAGTGCTGCTCAGGGCTTATTCCTGGCTCTGTGCTCAGGGATCACTCCCTGTGGGGATCATACGACATGCCAGAGATTGAACCAGCGTTGACCATGTGCAAAACCAGCGTCCTAACCACTGTATCATCTCTCCGGCTCCCCCAAGAGTGTTTCTGACCAGCTTCCCCAAGGCACCAGTACCCTGGGGGACCTTCTTCTCAGAAACTCATGGCCCTGGGCCTCTCTGCTCCCTACCTTCCTCTTGCACCATGGTGGAGGGGTAGCACCCTGCCCGCCAGAGAGGAAGGCACAGGGCTATGGCTGCAGGGACACACAGAGCCGCCAGCAGAGCCCCCTTCTCCTGCCCGCCCCTCCTGCACCCACGAGTCTTAGTCCTGCTGTATAGGACTCTTTCCCCCCAAAATATTTTATTATAGCAGCAGGATTTACTGAATTGTCCATAATACAGTTGTTTCAGGCATTAAATGTTCCAACACCAATCCTGCCACCCTCCCTCCGATGTCCCCAGCTTCTCGCCCACTACCCCAACCTGCCCCCTTGTAGATAAACACAGATGAACTCACTTCCCGTTGCTTGTTACAACACAAAGGCGAATGATGGAACCATCCCAGCTGGGACCAACAAGAGTCCATGGGTCACTGCTACATCCCTGTGGCGGTACCAAGTGGCTGGGGCCTACCGCTCCACGTTGCCGTTGAGACTCACTGACCCTGGTGGGCCCCGAGCAACCTTCCCATCAGGTTTGCTGTGACCCACCTGGGCCGACAGTGCTGGGAGACTCTGAGATATCAGTCCAGGAGCTACAGCCCTGGGTCGATGTGGTCCTGGCAGCTTGGGGAGGCTGTGCTGTGTGGGAGGGTGTCGAGTATGGCTGGGGCTGGGCTCCAGGCAGGAAGAGGATCTGCTGCCCCCTCCCCAGAGTTCTCGCACCCACCAGCCTACCTGGGGACTTTGGGGTATCATGTTTTTTGGAGGCTTGGTGCTAGGCCGTTTCCCCTGCTCCCCCCGCCCCCTGCCCCGGGTTCCCTCATCCTCAGGCTCATACTCTGCCCCTGCACTCTGGCCACTCTTAGCAGAGACCCCATACACACACAGCACGCCCCACCTTAGTGATGTGCAGAGCCGTGGCTTCCCACTGCCTGGGGTGCAGCGCGTGTGCCCTGCCTGCTCCTTGGGCAGCCTGGGTTCCAGGGCAGCTCATAGAGAAACCCTTTGCTTCTCCCAGGCCTCTCTGCTCACGCCTGGAAGGAGACGGTTATCAACAGCCCAGGCGAGGCAGAAGCGTTACTGCCTGCAGGGTCCACACAACGCGGCGGGGAGGGAGGCCTAGGCAGTGGGGCCAGAGCAGGTCCTGAGTCCAGAACATTCCTGCCAGACGCCTCCCATGGGCCTCTCCTCCCCCATAGACCCTGGCTCCTGCTCAGGCAGTGCAGGGCTCCATCCCACAGGCAGGAAACGGGAAGGACAAAAAAGGGGGGGAGGGAAACGCAGGAGCCATAGCACAGTGGAGAGGGCATTTTCCTTGCATGCAGCCAACCTGCATTCGACCCCCGCATCCCATATCATCCCCTGAGCATCATCAGGAGTCATTTCTGACTGAGTGAAGAGCCAGGAGTAACCCCTGAGCATTGCTGTGCATGGAGAAAGAAAGAATGAAAGGAAAAGAAAGGAAAGGAAAGGAAAGGAAAGGAAAGGAAAGGAAAGAAGGAAGGAAGGAAGGAAGGAAGGAAGGAAGGAAGGAAGGAAGGAAGGAAGGAAGAGAAAACGGGAGAGACAAGGCAAGGATTTTGTTTTTTGAGAGGGAGGCACCCTCCAGCCCTGAGGTCGCTCTCTTCTGATTCCAGCAGTCACTGCCCCCCCACCCTCCACCCTACCAGCCC